GAGGCGCCTCATTATTGGCAACCTTTGGGAGTTTCGGGGGGGGGGGGGGGGGGGGGGGGGTGCTGGTGCTACCGGTATGATCGGCTACCTAATCGCGCATTGAACCCCACCCCCCCAAAATCGGTGTAAGACTCCTCTTTCTTTTCTTTTTTTCCATCAGCGTCCCGCCCAATTTGGTGGCACGAAACGTGAGCTACGCCGGTTTTGTGGGGTTAGTGTTGGCAGCTCGTGGGAGTTACACGGCTTGGACTCCAGCCGCGCTGTATCCTCGGTCTTGCGCAAAGTTTTTTGTGCGCGCCTTCGCGAAGAGGTTGTTGTATTGCCCCGAAACTAGAGAGGACGTGGTTCTGCTGTGTCACAAGCGAAGGGGGATGGATCTTTGCGCGGACACGAGGATTGGATGATGTGGTGGGGGTTTGGATGTGGCTGGCAGTTAACCTCTTCGTCGTAGTCAGTTTTTGCTGCCCGTTTTGTATCACCACACGATTGGGTTGGTTTGCGTATGAAGAAAGAGGGGACAGATAATATAGTTCCCGATGCTGGAGGATGTGGGTGTTGACGGAGATTTGCATTGTTGTGTGTAAAGTTTACTCCTAATTTTCCTGACACTGCTTACAATTTTGCTCCCTAAATTATGAAGAAGCGTTTTTGTTAAGGTCCCAATAGCAAGTTGATTTACAATGTATGTGTACAAGTAAATCGAATGCCTTTATTTTGCGTGCAGCTATGTAGGTTGGTCCTCGGATATTCACAAGTGTGGTGTGCGAGACATCCTTCTTCGGTTGAGGCTTGAATGGGCAACGTGTGGTTCCGATACAACAATCTTCGTGGCTGAAAATTAAAGGTGTGAGCTACAATACCAGGTACAACGTAGAATCCCCGCCTTTTTTTTTTGATAATTTTTTATGGCCCTTTTTTTTTTTTCTGCTTAACGAGGACAGGCTGCGGACGCTGGTAGAAGCAGCCTACATTTTTATTAGAGGGGTCGCCGGGTGCGGGATGTGTGTGCGTGTGGGATCGATTGGAGGACTGGGTGGAGCAGTCGCCGTCAGGTCAAAGATTACGCCTCGACGGCAGTGAGGCGGCCACGGTTTTTGATTTCTGAGGGGTGACATGGTTCATCATTGCGTGCCTGCCCGAAGGTTGGTCGGACTACCGTATATGACACAAGATAACACACCCCCTTGGCCGATTTTCAAAGCTCGATTTCTCAACAGCAGGAAGAGTCACAGCGCCGAAAACGGCGGCGTTGGAACCGTCTCGTCGAGAGCTGTTCGAAAACGTATTGTTTCATTTATGCATCCTCTTCGTCGTGGAGTAATCGAGCTTTGAAAATCGGTCCAGGGGGTGTGTTATCTTGTGTCATATACGGTATGCATAAGGGGGGGGGGGGGGTAGGCCTCGGAGGCTTGGTGTACAATATTAGGTGTGTATGGTTATTGTATGCGTACATGCAGTTTTGGGGCGTTTAATTTTTTTGTTTTTGGGCTGGCTGTCGGTGTGAGCGTGATGAAATGATCGAGTGATCCTGATCACACGTTTTTTTTTTGTTGTCCTCCACAGGGAATGGAGCCGAGAGGCATCAAGGACGTTGATGAGGCCCACAGCTGCTGGTGTTGATTCCCGCACGCGAGTTGGTAGTAGAAGAATATCCCGCGAAAGGGGAAAGGGCGAGAGCCAAGCTGCGACACACGGGTCGTGGACGACGTATTTTTCGCTCGTTCTTGGTTGCATGTGCCCTTTGGTAGATTTGGTAGATTGGGCATCCATCACGTGTAAGGCGATGATACATGATGATGCGTGCATGCGTGCTGTTTCCTGGGGATCTATGTGGTGTAGTCTGTATGGTTGAGTTGGCGTTGGTCGTGGGGGGGTCATGCAACAGGCCTCTGCTTACTGGCGTACGAACGGAGGGACGTATAGTACACATGCATGTGGTCGATGGGGGCATGGCCGCCACTCACTGCGGCTGATTGATTGTGTACTGTGAGAGTCGGAGAGTTGGCCGGGTGCGATCGTTTTTTTTAAGTCAACGAAAAATAAACACACACAGAAAGACTACCCATTCGAGATATACCCACAGTCGAACGGGATGTGGTGGAATCTTTTCAGTGAGTGGAGGAAAACCGGCTGGGTACTGGACTTATTTCGAGTCTCTTCAAAGCTATATATGTATGTACCAAAACCAATGCAACGGTACCTTCGAAGCCGGACGGGAAGAAGCTACCTACCGTGCTTTGCTTGAGGCTAGCGACGAGGAGCGAATTGGGTTGGAAAAAGAAAATTAACCCGGGGCATTGGGGCTGAAAACAACAAAGAAACAGTGAGGCAATTGGGTTGAAAAAATCGAAGAACCAGATGCAACTGCGCTTATGAAAACCTACTGATACTTGACCTACTCATACTCATGGTGGGAGTATAAGGACAGAGACCAAATTGGGTTCATAAAAAATACTTCGTAAAAAGCTTCTTCTTCTTGTACCTGTAGAATGCAATCGCTCGTTCTTTCCACCTGTAGGACGATTTAAGACGAGTCGTACGTACGACGATGACAACGACGACAACAAATTTTCTCTCCCGAAATGCTCATTTCTCCTCGCCGTTCCCGAGAACGTTCCTATCGCCGTCGTCGACAACAACGCCTATCCCCACGGCGGCGGCATCCTCCCCTTTCGGCGAAACCGCTGCTGCTGCTGCTGCTGTCGATCCCAAATACAAGGGCCCTCTACGGTCGAAGAAATGCCGGAACGTGAAGGTAAGGGAGCGGCACGTCTGCATCACGACCAGCGCCATCCAGACGTCAAGCAAGGTCGTTTCCCCTCCCCCCAGGTATCCACGGAGCCAGATGTACAGCGGCAGCGTGGTCGCGCTTACCACCATCGTCAGCGCCTGCAGAAAAAACATCAAGTTAAAAAAACCTGTTAAGTAGATCTAAACCTTTGAGAGTTGCGCGCATGTAGCGGGATCGACTTCAGCGGGCAGGGGAGAGCAGGCTTCGGCACAGCGAGAAACTAACCCATCCATCTTCGAATGTAGGAAACGTCTTTTTTCACTTTTTCACTATATATTTTAGGGGAGTAGGAGGGGGCGAACGAAGCAACCCCCACCAAGGAAACAGATGATCCCGGCCTTGGTACGCATAGACACACGCCCCTGCCCCCCTGTGAGTTCGAAGGACAAAAAATAAAGCGCCGGTTTTCAGGGAGACCCGCCAACAAGAAGGCTTGTTTCTCGGACCGCGACAACACGGTAAAAGGGATCCTGAAACGACCAAGAAAATATGAATGAAGTTCACCATTCCGCGGGTGGGGCCAGTCCACGCCATGTCGACATTTTTATGAAGCGAGGGCATGCACATGCGCAAACCTAGACGGTCCGAACGCCATGGGCCTGAAAAAGGCCAATTCGACACGGATTAAGGTGCCCTCGCCAGAAGCACTACAGCGGTAGAACAAATAAATAACACCACAATAGAGCACGAAAAAAAACTTTCTTCGAAGCAACAACAGCACGGAAACACCGGAGGAATGATACCATGGGGATCGATCGATCCAAGCCGACGAAACGCTTACACGGACATCTGCGTATTACCTGACGGATTTGCTTGTCGACGTCATCGCGACCCCTGAGTTTTGGTCCGCAACTGGCCAAGCGTTTCCGGCCGATCAGAGTTCGACGGCAGCAAGCCTGTCCGCAAGGCCATGGCTATCGCCTACTTGCTTGCTGCTCATGGCGCATCCTTTTTACTTATACCGTCTTCTCTGTAGTTCACAACATTTGTGAGGCATCATACACACACACACACGTGTACATCGCAAAAAAAAAAAAAAAATCACCTCGTAGACGAAGTCCTGCGTCCCCTGAAGGATACCGTCCCCGACGAAAACGTAACCGTTAAGGGGCTGCAAGAGTCCCACGACCGCGATGACCGGAGCGATAGCGGCGATAACCTGCAGGAGAGAGGCCGGAGCGTACGCGGTAGCAGGTCATCGCTTCCATTCCTTCTTCGTTGGGATCGTGTTTTCTTAACTATTATAGCACCGGCCGTGACAACCGGCTGACCAATCAAGAGACGACAGCCTCAGTGCCGTTGCAAACACGATTTGTTTCGAACGGTTGCCTGGTAGCAAAAAACAACGCGGCATTCCACACTCCCCCCCTGTCCTCCATCCCGGCTTTGAAGGGATGCGAGGTCGACGGTCTAACGACTACGGCATGCGTGTACATCAGAATGCCCCCCCTCCACCCGCCGCCCAGATTCGTTACTTTGGCGCAAGTACATACCAACATGAGCCATAATCCTCCAAAGAGATAACTGGGGGGGGGGGGGGCAGAACGAGGCATGAGCCAAAGTTTGACGATAAGTTTGGCGAAACATGTCATTGCCGCAGCAGCAGCGGCAGCGGCAGCAGCAGCATCAGCGGCAGCAGCAGCAGCAGCAGCAGCAACAGCAGACGCAGCAACAGCAGCCCCCTCCCCCAGGAGGTCGGGGCGCACACCCACGGCAACAACTTGCCCCCCCCCCCCCACCTTCTGATCTGATGTGAAGATGAGCGGCAAGACGCCTCCGAACACCTGGAAGATTACCAGAGTTCCCACCCCTAACCCCAGGCCGAAGACGATGAGCTGCCGCGCGACGGACGCCAAGAGGGGAACCAAGGCAACGATGGGAGTGTGTGCGCATTCAGAGAAGAGAGAAAAAATGTCAAGGGGGGTCAACAGCCCAGGACTGTGGATATATATCGAAAGGGAAGTCTGTCTTTTGATCGCATATATATGTTTGTTGGGGGGATCAGCAGCCTACGGGTTGCGTGGCAGGTTACGGGGTGGGGAGCGAAGGACACGCCATCAAGAGGCCAACCCACGACGAAACAAATAGAGGGCGAGGTCTCGACTAGGCGCTTTTGTGGCCAAGGGTTAGCTCGGAGGATGCGAGTCTAGCCCCTTCCATCCCCAACCCTTCCTTCTCTGCCTTCCTTCCCCGGGTCGTCGGGATTTGTTGGGATATTTCAAGCAGAGATGCAAAGAGAAAGTGGCTGTGTGTCCTGAACAAACGCACAAACCATACTGCGTGTCCAAAGCCCACACGCCACGGCAGCAGCTATGAAGCCGAGCACGGCTCTCTTTCCACAGGGGATCCAAGCACGCAGGCGTGTTATGCGTGCAGGGGTTGGGCAATAAAACGGCATTTGTAGCCTTCAACGACTAGAAACACCACCGAAAAACTCTCGCAACGAGTACAAAATGCGTCAGTAGATGTCAAAACATTTCGGTCAACAAGAAACACGCATACACAGATCTCAAAACAAAACAAGTACGCTCTTCTCACCCTTCCGGCCACCTCCCTCCCTTCCGCGACCATGCCCCCACCCAGCCGGTCCGCGACGAGGCCCTGCGCCGCCACCGCAAGCGAGTCTGCCGCGAAGGCCAGCAGGAGGTACAGCTGGTTACACACCTGTGCCGGTACCGTCGTAGCACCAGAGAGAAAGAGAGAGAGAGAAAGAGGGAGGGAGGGAGAGAGAGAGAGAGGGAGAGAGAGAGAGAGAGAGAGAGAGAGAGAGAGAGAGAGAGAAGAGAGACCCGCACACAGAGAGGGACAGAGAGCAAACGACAGCGACAGCGAGAGTACAGCAGCAATGACCCGAAAATAAAGGGGGTTAGTTTGCCACGCACACGACGGAAAATCACAACAGCACACGATTGGACGCAACTGCGGCTGTCCGTAGTTTCTAAAGGGCGAGATACATTCATGCCGGCTGACGCTGCCTGTGTGGCAGGTCGGACTCTTGCGTATCGCCGTAAGTTGACACACGTTCCCAGGACGTGCGGTCCGCGTCACTGGTGGACTGCGTCAGAACAACGGCTCGCCATATACCGCTCTCGCTCCCGATACCTGAACCGCTGCCGCGAGCCTTGCGGTTGCCTTTTCCCGCCGCCACCATCAGCAGTTTTCCGGGGACGCACCAGATCGTGGTCGCTTCTGTCCCTCGTTTTCGGGCCCCCACCATACCCTACCCGGCCGTCGTGTGTTGCCTCCCCGTCTAGACCCATGACACCCACGAGCCGTCGACGCCGCCGCCACATAACGCGGCACGTCCCGCAGTCAGCAAAGCACGCGCACGCCCCGAACACATCAGGGGTGATCCTGGCGCCGTTACTGGTGCCACCACGACAACTTGTCGCTGGCAGCGGTACCGGGGTCCGAATCACTCCTCAAGTGCCCCGGGCGGTCGCGCGATTTGCCGAGTGCGGTACGTGTCGCGTGATGCGGCGGCGGCGGCGGCGGCGGCTCGTGGGTGATGGCTCGACGGGAGGCAGGCATAGCAGCCATCATCACGGCCGGGTCGGGTATGGCAGAGGCCCGAAGACAAAGCAACCACGGTCCATTTGCCCATGGAAAATGTTGCTGCCGGTGCCCGCGGCAACGCCGGGAGAGGCAACCGCAAGGCTCGCTGCTGCTGCGGCAGCGGTGGAAGTATCGGAAGCGGTAGCGCGCCGTTGTTCTGAAGCACCCAACCGACGCACACCGCTGTATGTTGACACACGGAGGTGGTTGCAAACCCCTATTTACGCCGATGCTGTGAGTACGCCCGGAGGAGCGTCACACGGTGCGAGGATGCATTGTCTTTCTACCGAAATAAAAGTCTTGGACAACAACCGAGCGGAAATTGCACGTTGAAACAACCCCCCCCCCCCGCCGATTGCGATTGGGAGCCCCCGGCTGCGACAAGGGGCACAGCCTTGCACACCAGCAGACGAATAGGACCGTCTTGACTTGGGCCACGGGGGAAAACGGATACTGTACCACGCATGAGCGAAACAAGACGTGCTCGTTCGTTCGTTGGGAATCTATCTACCTCAGGACGGAAACAGGCATCGTTTATATTGGCGGCCGAAACGCTTCTCGAACCTTTCCGTGCGCCTCGTCCAAATAAAAACAAAAAAAAACAGTCACAAAAGAACGCGTTCACGAGCAATGACGGGGGCAGGCCGAAACCACGAAGCAAGCCACACTTTCCACTGCTACACAGGGCTTCGCGCCTCCATTGGTTTCCGCGAAGCTGCATCTCGCGGCCCTCCCGAGGGACCAAGCGCAAAAAAAAAAACATCGCACCTGATGGGCGGCGATGGCGGTGGGACCGACCCGAGCGGCAAACGCGGTAGCCGTGCCCAGCGCCCCCTTCGAAAACAAGAAAAAAAATTGGGGAAATTAGAATCGACACACTCACTCCTGTTTCAGCCTAGATGAGGCTGCCGACGTCTTGAAATTGGTCAGTCGGTTAGCGCAGCCGCTGCTAAGAAAAACATTTATTACTATTAGGACAACACACACAATTTATTAGTCAGCCGGTTTAGCGCGGCCGATGCCAATTCAAACACACACACACACATGCGCGCGTTTCGGGTGTGAGATGGTGTTCGAGTGGGGCATCTGGCCGAAAAGAAAGAGAGGCTGCTTGAGGCGTCATGCAAAACAAACATCCACAAAACGAAAACGTTGTTGTTGGATACACGTGCATGCCGATCAATCAAGGTGACCGCATCGGGAAGCAGCTCCATACTATCATACTTTACCTGCAACGCTACGGTACGGCCAAACACGGCGGCGGAGGACGTCAGAACGGCGCTGCCCTCCTTCCACCCTTCTCGATTCTTCGGCAGCGACACCGGGCGCAGCCTGCGAGTGTCCGGCATCGAAAGAAGGGTGTGCGATCGACGTACACCGGCGGGTCGTTACTGCCGGATATGCTGGCACTTTTGTTCGAATTACAAGTACACACAACATAAGAAAGAGCTCTCAACTCCACAATGACCGCTACACCCTGTAGTCCATTTCATACCGGTGGGAGGTGCGAGCAGCCCCAGAATGATCTTTCTCACCGGCGAAAACGTCGCCGTGTAGCACAAGAAGAACACACGAGACACACGCACTGGCGAAAAGATGCCGCTGCCGTGACAACCCAGCTGGCCCATCACCCTCATCTATGATAGCGCCGACTACCCCCGCATTCGCATGCGGACGGACGGACCCTCGGACGACCAAAAAAAAAAAAAAAACAGCGACTACTACTTTCACCAACATCGCCACCACACACCACCACCAACGTCGCCACAACACACCACCACGACGCACCGAATGGAGGGTTCTTTCTGCGCGAGCAGCACCAGGAAGGCCATCACGCCCGCCCACTCGGCGGTTACGGTCGCGATCGCCGCGCCCTGAAGGCCCCATCCTGAAAAAAATACGAAAGAAAAAAAAAAAAACATCCCGCAGACGGGAAAAACAGTGGGGCAGAAAAACAAAGCTCCAGTTCTGACCTTCCTCCAGCGTGAACTCGGTTGACACGTCGAACACGGTAGCGTGGTGCCAGAATGAATTGGACCGTCACACACGTACGGCAGCGGCGGCAGCAGCAACATGTACAATGGAAACCCCACCGGAAGTCAGAGCTACAACAATACGCCGACGACGGTGGCACACGATTACTGCCGTCAACCATCATCGCCGCTTAACTCAAGACGATGTTGTCGTCGGAGATAAAAGTACTATTCATGGCACTACGCGAGAGGATACTTCGTCCATTCATCGGACCCGCCCTCATTTGGGTTCATTGCCAAAGGACGCTACGGACGGTGGTAACAGCCGCGATCGATGCCGAGAACACAAAACGTGACACCGGAAAGGCATCGAACAGCCAACACCGCGGTTAGTCACCGCCGCCACTACCACCCAGCAACACCTCAACAAGAGACTGGCACAGCGAGTGAGAGAGAAGAGGTAAGAGATAAGAGAGAGAAAGAGAGAGAGAGAGAGAGAGAGAGAGAGAGAGAGAGAGAGAGAGAGAGAGAGGGAGAGAGAGAGTCCAACATGGTGCCACAAAACCAACGGCCAGAAACAAAGTCACTCCGCCATCACTCCAATCGATCCCGATCGCCGCACTACACTTAATGCCTAATATTCACACCCCTTCATGTTGTCGTCACCCCAGTCACACCTTTCCATCTCCCCAGCACCAACAGGGTGCGAAACGGTCAAGAATGTGCCTCAACAATGAAAAACATGTGAAACCGGTTGATGGTGAAGCCGTCCAAGTGAAAGACTGTTCGAGTGTGAACCCAAAGACTGTGAAACCGGTCGAGTGAAAATACGCCAAAGTGAAAGGCCGTCAGAATGTTAACAACAACAGGCAGAGTTTGAAGCCAAAAATAACAAATCAGATTGCAAGTCTGTTGGGTCAGAGACAAAAAATAATGCATCAGATTGCAAGTTTTTTGGGTCAGAGTCAGAGTGTGGAACCGTCGTGTGGCGGTCGTTCTTTTTCCCTACCGAACTGGAAGATGAGGATAGGGTCAAGAACGAAGTTGAGGCCGTTGGCGGCCAACCCAATCAAAAGCGGCGTCTTCGTATCCAGAAACCCCTGGGGGGCGTATTTCCGCAGCAGTTCGCAAGGGGGGCAAGGGGCAGGGTGGTGAAAATCGAGCCGCCGAATTTGGTTGGACCCGCATGCCTCCGTGGAGAGCAGGCGGTTGAGCTTTTGGGAGGACAAAGCCAAGAAGTACATGCCCATCGCATGCGGCCCTCACGTACCCTCCAGGCGGAAAATCGAGGACCGCAATCAGTGCGAGCGTACTCGATAGAGTCCCCCTCGTCGTTCTTCGTTGAAAGGTGCCGAGCAACAGACCACGAAAGAACAGCGCACGCCATGTGGACTGCGACCTGTATGAAAATGTAGGTCCTCCCTTCCCATGGGACGAGCCCTGATCAGATCATGGTAGGACGGCACCA